ACAGACAGACAGACAGACAGACAGACAGACAGACAGACAGACAGACAGACAGACATGCGACCCGCACGGAGTGTGTGTGAGAGAGAGAGCGAGACAGAGAGAGAAAGAGATAGATAGTCAATGACCTAACAGAGAGAAAGGTAGGAAGTGAGAGAATTTGAGAGAGGGAGAGAGAGAGAGAGAGAGAGAGAGAGAGAGAGAGAGAGAGAGAGAGAGAGAATCACGTATCGACCCGTACGGAAAGATAACTCACTCAAGAAAAGAGAATTTATTCAGGGGAGAGAAGTCGGGACAGCCCGTGTGTCAACAAATGGCGGATCATAGCGGAAAGGTTCTATCTGATAGACTTTGCAGTTACAGATAAACCATTCTATCTAGTAGACATATCAGTTACAGATGACTCAGTCTATCTGATAGGCATCACAGTTACAGACAAACTGGTGTATCTGATAGATATTACACTGATAGACATTAGTGTTACAGACAGACCAGTCTATCCGATAGACATTACAGTAACAGACACACCAGTGTATCTGATAGGTATTGAATTTGAAGATGACGACGTCTATCTGAATGAAAGCTCAGTTACAGATAATAGATCTAATAGACACAACGCTGATAGACATTTGTGTTACAGACAAAACAGTCTATCAGATAGACATTACAGTTACAGATAAACCAATCCAATCTGATAGATATTATACACGTAAATATTAATATTACTCGTACAATAATACACATATGTAAATAAATGAATGAGTAAATATAATATTATAAAATTATATATATACATATATACATAATATACATATTATTATACTTTATACGTATGATATACCGTATGCATATATACAGATACATAATATTACATAATATACAAGGTGTCCGTGAAGACAAACATGTAAAAACAACGTTGTTCTCGATGCCTCCCGTTCTAGTTAGACCAAATGTGTGTATATGTGTGTGCTCGCGCACGCGCGCGTGTGTGTGTGGTGGTTGGGGGTTTGTCTGCATTTGTATGAGTGTGTGTGTGAGTAGGTAGGTAGGTAGGTAGGTAGGTAGGTAGGTAGGTAGGTAGGTAGGTAGATAGGTAGGTAGAAAGGTAGGTTGGTCTGTCTGTCTGTCTGTCTGTCTGTCTGTCTGTCTGTCTGTCTGTCTGTCTGTC